TGCCCTGCTGCAGTACCTCTTCCTCTGCGGCCATGAGGGATTTGAGGGTCTGGTCCATGGTCCGCAGCTCTTCTTCCAACTGTCTCACTCGGCTGGGGGTGGGAAGATGGGGCACCCCGGGGCGGGGCGAGTGGAGAACAGGGTCAAACATGCTCCGGGCAGGCCCACTCCCCTGCCCATGCTGGTGATCGCCCTGAGGGCCTCCCCTGGTGCGGACCTTGCCAGCAGCTCTGCCGGGGAAGGGACATCCCTGCACACGCACGGCTCACGGCAAGGGCTGCCAGCGTTGGGAGCAACCTGCTGTGCGCGCTGCCACTCACCTCTCTGCAACTTCTGCCCGCTCCTCCGAGCGCTCCAGCTCTCCCTCAAGGACAACCAGCTTGCGGGCGACCTGTTGGCAGCAGCAAAAGGTTGGTCCCGCTGGGAGGCAGGCGGCACCATGGCGAGAGGGTGGCCATGGGGATGCCAGGGCCTGTGAGTGGTGGCAGTGGACAGGGTAGAGGACATGTAAGGGAAGTGTCACTCACCTCCTCATATTTGCGGTCAGCCTCCTCGGCTATGTGCTTTGCCTCCTTCAGCTGCATTTCCTGGAGCTCCATCTTCTCCTCGTCCTTCATGGCCCTGTTTTCGATGACCTTCATGCCTCTGAGGAAAGTCCAAGACAGAAGATGTTACTGCTCTGTCCGATGGGCTGTGACCTGGCTCCTGTGACGGGCTCTGTGTCAGCCATGCAAGTCTCAACCCACCCTCCTCTGGCTCTGGAGATGAGGGGCATGGCGCAGGGACACCAGTACTTGTTGGCCACCCTGTGCATCAGGGTTGTACTGGGGTGCTCCTGCTCACGATTAAAGCAGCCAGACTGCAAATCTGCCCCCAGGCCACCCTGGGGCCACCTCCCAGAGTGAGGGGCTTCTCAGCCAGGCAGCTCTTGAGCTGCCCCAGACTCATCATCCAGCCTGTGACGAGGGCTGGGCGCAATCTCTGCAGAAGCAGCCTGGCAGCCCAGCAGCCTTCAGGAAACTCTAGGAAACTTCCCATAGCAAAGCCATTTCTTTCAGGGATGAAGCTCAGAACCAGGAAGCGATGCAGCCCCCAAGCAGCCTGTGGTGAACTCAGCACCAGAGGGAAGTTGTGGATGGGCATCAGGGCCATCTCGCACTTCCCAGATTGACCAACACAGAAGACTCCTCCACTGACTCTGTGCCTGCTATCATTAAGGAAACATGTCACACCAGGAACACAATGACATTTCTGGCACTGGAAGCTCCTGGGCAGCAGCTGCTAGTCCCATAAAACCTAAGTGACCTCCGTCTGCACAGCCTTTCCTCGGGAGGTGTGACTGCTGTGGGCAGCTACGCCATCGGGGCATGGGGAAACAGCCTCCACAGTGAGTTTCTGAACAAGGCCGTTTCCCTGCCGCTGCTACTAACAGCCAACCTCAATTCCTGGGTGCCAGGAGCTCTCCTGAGCACAGCGGTCTGCTCTGGGACAGAAAACATATTCTGAACATCCTCTGGCTTTAGCTACTGCCTGATATTTATACGAGCACCAGACCATTTTGGGGAAGAGTGCCCTGAAAAAATTCAAAGAAAGCACTTATTTGGGGACCTTGCTGTGCCGTGGCCTCGCTCTCTCCCTTGGGGGGTCTGCAGGAGGGCTGACACGATCCCCTTAAGGTCATATAAGAAAAACTCTCTGCAGCCTCTTCTGCAGTGAGTGGGATCCCGAGGATGATGATTCTGAAGCTCAGCCCAGGCTCCTGGCAGTACTCGTAGGCAGGGTATGGGCAGTGCCCCGTTGGACCCAAATCCCTGATGCCTCCAGACCCCCACTGCGAAGCCAAGGGTGAGAGGGTCTGCCTGCCATCCAGGGCCCCCTACTCGTCCCTCTCTCCCTCCCTCCCCACATCGCACCTCTCGCTCTCATCAGCCGCCTTCTCGGCTTCCTCCAACTTCTGCAGGGCGGTGGCCAGGCGCTCCTGGGCTCGGTCCAGCTCCTCCTCCACCAGCTGGATGCGGCGGGGTGAAAACAGCACATCA